TATCCGTGATTCCGTATTCAACGACTTATTTTAATATTACAGTCGTTTTGAGGACAAAAATGCATTTTTTACGCTTTACTTGTAGTACATTTATTGAAAAAATCATTGTTTTTTTTATTGTGCAATATTATTTTAATCAATTCTGTAGATCACTCATGAAGGTTCTTGGCATCATCAGCCTGCACTTGGCCCTACGGGAGGGCACAATAGTACAACTCATCTGTACATCTCTATCAACCGTCATATCTGAATTGATTCTCTTCTTAAGTACATCCTCTTTCACTCAAGCTATGCATACTTTATTTGGTATTCTACTTTTGTTAATCTGTCATAAAGATGATTATAATACGATTATTATTAAATTCCATAGCAAAGTATAAAAGAGTTTGAACTGAAATAATTAGCAAACATTTTTGGGTCTTAATTTTTTAGAAAAAGCAATCAGTGTTACTTTTTCATTTTTTCCACTGAGTCATGGCTTAGTCATTCAATCGAGAATAACTAACAGAATAATGTATACACGTGTGCGAAAACCTAATGTTTCTATGACGAGTCCGGTGCTATCTCCGTAAGCGGATATTAAGATAACGTTTTATCGGCTATTGTAGCTCGACTCTTGTTACATAAAACACTATGATGACAGAACGTTGTATATGTTTATAGAAATTTTACCACGAGAGCAATAATATTGTTATGACTTTCGTATTACGATATAAACAATGAAACATTTTTATCGCATTTCACAATGAAAATTTACGTTACACGATTGACGATTATCGATTAGTCAACTGTAAATGGAAACGTTGAATCAAAGTATAATTGTTACTATATGTAAATACGTTGATTATATCTTGTTGATGACTTCAACAAAAATTATATTAAAAAAAAAAACATACAGACGAATTGAGTACCTCCTTCTTTTGGGAAGTCGGTCAAAAACTAAGGCTTATTTTAATATCTATCTAGCTTTCGCCAGCGACTCCGTCCGTGTGGAATTAAAAATAAGTAAATAGCCAAAGTGTTCTTTCAGACTATCCTCTACAAAATGTCAAATTTCATCGAGATCCGTTCAGCCGTTTATGCTACAAACTCTAACAAACATCCATCCATCCATCTAAACTTTCGCATTTATAATATTAGTTAGATAGATTGTGCAGTAAATAAGTTAGTAGCTACTAACTCTAATTTTATCAGACATTTTCCTACAATCTAAATTATGTGTGTGGTATTGCAGTATGGCTAGACTAAATAACGTGTCATTTTGAAAGCGGAAGGGTGACGATGAGGAGCGCGCGTTGTCAATTGAAGCAATTGTGCCAGCCTTTGACTTTTAATGACAGGACCTATTACCGAGCGCATTTCCCTCTGACAAATAGAAACACTTGCTCATTTGTGACGTTGACTTGTATAAGTGTGTATATTTTTTATCTAGAACCTACATGTATGTGTGATTATTATCTTTACTTAACGCCCCACGTAAAGTGGCAGAATTTATTAAGCAAAACAGTAGCTATTTGCTTAGTCCGTTTCTATACGATCAAAGGTTGCGGCGATGGCGAAAAGGAATTAGGCGCCGTTGTGTGCGTGTGCTAGTTGAACTAAATTCAGACATACGTCCGTCTGATTTCTGTTATTATCTGTACGGAACATGTCTGATACGATGATGGTGTTTTATTGGACTAACTAGTGTAACTGAACTCTTCGTAAAATAAATTTTGATTCGACTTGTTACAAACCATCTTAGGATTCCAATATGTATATAGTTGTACACGTACTTTCATATTTTATGTCAAGTTATTACAGAATTCTTAGTTTGATAGATATTACATTATTTGCATATATATTTATTATCCTTTATTATTAGTCCTTCTAGAACATTGCGTATGTCTTAGACGTTCTAAGTATGTGACAGGCGCACTTTATAATATGGGGTGCCATTTGTAACTCATCTCTTATTATTGCAATTATTCTATCGATGTACATTAATCAATGTAGTTCCCTCACAGATGTGTCGGCTAACATTCGAGGCTGCAGGCGACAGATGTCCGCGCGGTCGTGTCGATGACGCCGCGTCCAAAGCGGAAGGGTGGCTCTCAATTGGCACAATTGCCAGTAATTGTGGGCGGAATGTCCGGGCGACGCGACGCAGCGCGTTCGCTCGGCCTCTGTGTTGCCACATCACGTCCAAATAAAATGTAACACAGATAAATGTAATACACAATTAATTCAGTTTAATTGATATGTAACTTTTAATTCGACAGCATTACGTCATCCTGGTTACGGTAAATGGCCTCGTAATGGTATTATAGGTATGGTGCTTTGATTTTGTTTAATGCTTACTTGGAATATTAACGTCAAACAAGATTATGTAACGCAAATCTGTAAGTTTTAAACAATGCCGTTAATTAACTCACTTGTATAATTTCAGCAATATGCCTTTTGAAAAACTTTTCTCAACTTAGTTTTCTTGTATTAATTAAATATTGTTTATTATTTCATTGTACAATAAACGTACGTTGCATAAATATGTGAATATGAAATGTCTTCCACTTAAACGTTTTGTAATTGTATTTAAGACCGTTCCTCAGTTATCAATCTTTGTTGCAGGGTTATCACAATTTGTAAAATTCTCAAACACTTAAATATTTATTTTGTACATTTTTATATAACAGAAAAATTAACGACGATGATACTGAATACAATAATAAGAATAACTTCACAGTAAGAGTATGTCAATGGTGTACAGTATCAAATTTTCATATACATACATGCTCATTTATGTAATTTAGAACATGGTAACATAATTTTAATTGATTATTGTGTCATTTTCCTGAAATGATAAATGGTAGCCCTATAACGTGGCAGTCACGAGTAGAGCGCACACGGCGCGGCGGGCGCGGGCGCAGGGCGACGCGGAAGTCGCACACACTTCCGCGTGCCGCCATCTTGCCAGTCCGCGCCAACAGAGATTCGCGCCATGCCCGCCGACCGCCATCGCCACAACCTTTGACTTTTAAATGACAGGACCTGACAGGCGTATACGCTCTCTGTCCAAAATAAAAGTGAATAGTAAGATTTAAAATTTCTTAGTATCGTGCTCCACAATGCAAATATGTTAGTTTTTGCGTGCGTTCATAAAGACGTAAGTAGCAGCATGATGCTTCACCGCAGACAAAAAGTATCAGAATTTATGCAGTTCAACGACGGCTCTTTGACTAGTCCGTTTCTTAATATTCAAAGTGCAGTACACATCCATGTACTTCGGAATATCGTATATGATGTTTAATTTAAGTGCACGTCGAATTATAATACGTCCTAATTGATAATGACAACGTTTTACATTGGCCGACATACAATGTCGTGCAGTGATAATGTCGCCGGCTAATTTCAGACAATTATTTTAGCTAATATAAAGTGAACGTATGTAAACGCTCGATATAGTTAGAGCAACATTATTAATATAACTATGAATAACTAGTAAAGTGCATAACTAGTAACATTCTTTTTTTTTTAACAGATCTAGATTACACTTTAGTGGAAACATATTGTTTTTTTATGTCTAAATGTCTGGGAGTTTGTATGGTATATATCCATTCCATTGTTCTTTATTAGCTTAAATGAATGATAAGTTACCTTTTGATTTTTGTATAAAACTGTACTATCATTGCGGACTACCGTTATCGGTAATCAATTGGCATACGTTTGCAAATTCTCGTTGATTGCATCGATATCGCAACATTCGAACTGATTTACATGTAGCATTGCGTGATGTGAACAAAACCTTCCCCTCACCCTCTCTTTCTAATTACGGAATATCGCTGTGGAACAAAAAGAGATGACCCACTTTCGGGACCGGTCGTACGAGATCGGGTGCGCACCGTTGCACGTATTACGTGTTAGAAGATGGGTTGCCATGTCTTACTAGGAAAGTCGGATAATCTTATATAAAAGCAAAAATGTGAGATAACGTTCGGTACATGTTTATTAATGAAACATACGTACATAAATACGTTTTATGACTAAATATTTTATAGTGAGTAGCTCGATATATATATTTTGTTAACCTCAAATCAGCCTATTGATTTACGATCATCAGTCACAGACAATGTTCTATTATTTAAAATAGCTTAAACCTTTTCTCAATTATAGTAACTTATTATACTAAGTAAATCTTAAGACTTGAAATTTTTGCATTGTGCAGGTCAGTCGTAAGTCAATCACTCCATTTGAAAATCGTTACTTGTATGTAGAAATATGTGATAATAGTCCTAAAAAGAGAAGTGCCATGGTAACCCTCACCAGAAGATGGGGTTATACAGAACGAGTGCGCTCAAGTAACGGATCATATCGATGTGAATTTTCTCGCCCTAATAGCTTTTTGCTTTGCCTTCAGATTTTACACGATCGTTGTGTAATGCACATATAACATACATCGCAATTGCAATTACTTCTTAATGTTTCTATAAAAGATTGCTAAATAAAGATTCCTTCGACTTTGACATCGAAAGATGAAAAAAAGGAGAGTACCCTATGTAAACAATAAACAATCGGAAAAATCAATCTCAAAACTTATTAAGTTCTGTGGTTATGTTTCTTTTATTGTAACACAATAAAGATAATTGGTCGCTATCAGTTCCCGTTGATTTCATAAGAAAATGCGTTATAAGTAGTTAGTAAATCTCGACTTAGGTAACTCGGTGCGTTTCCGAGATACGACTTCGGCGAATGTTGCCTCCACATTAAATAAATTCTGTGTCGTAACTTTACTATTCAATGCTAAACGTATGTCTTAATATTTCCCATTTCCTCGTAGGCGTTAATTAATTTAATGTATAAGTAAATGGTTGCAATTTTATGTCTGTCCTTACACTTTTAAGACCTTATCCTAATTAGTTAACCATTGTAATGATTTGTATAGATTTGATAAGGCAGTAACGCAAAAAGTAATTAAATAGATCTCTAAATTTTCAGTGGATAAAATTGTAACCAGTGGACGATTTTCATAAGTGCAAAAAATACGAAGAAAAATCCGCTGCTGTATTGCACAGTGCCACAAGTCCTGCCGGCATACAATGCACATTGTAATGGAGACATTTAATTGTATAACAATTATGATTCATTTAGGATGGTCCCACGGCACCTGCGTAAGGAGGCGGAGGAGGGGTGCGGGCGGGGTGCCGCGGGCTACGTAATCCCTCCGCAACGGCACTTCCTGAACGTGGCGCAAGGCTTGTGCGAATGTCGGCCGAGCATTTCGCGCCACTTTCGTAATTCGTTGCGTGGACCGACCGACCGGCCGGCGCGGCCGCCCCGCAGGAAGTAAAAGTTCGAAGGTAAGAAAGTAGGTCTCCGCTGTAATTGGCAACGTGCCTGCATACTGATGTCCACCGCGGTATAAATAGGTTGCGAGCACCTGCGCCGCCCGCGACACCAGCGTCCCACCGATAAAGGTTAACTTAAGTATGCCATAATTAACTAATCGTTGCATTACAAACGTTGTAACGTAACCGGCGCACGCAATTCAGAGCGCTATCGGACGGTTTAGAAGGGGAAGAAACAGTTAAGCGGTAATGATACGGCCGTCGATAGAGCACGTATGTTACGCACTTTGACTACTATGACATAAGTTGCGTAGGCGACCCGGGCGCCGCGAACTGGGCCGCGAGAGATGCGCTGCAACTAATTGTTTGCGCAATTCCAGACGGACTGTGCGGAGCGCCCTCGCTGCCTCGCGTCGTCGCCGCACGAACTGACCACATTTATGCATATTTAATTACATCATTAAATTCTTAAGGAAGTATTATGTGCGATTTTTTATAGAATAAGAAAAGGATATTGAAATCCATTTTTGAAATTATTAAAATCTTCATCTCAATCTTCACTTACTGGTTTTTTTGGAATTAGCGTCAAAATATAATCTTCGCCTCAAAAAGTAAATTTTAACTATTTATATTAAAAAATATGTACCTACCCCAATTAAAACCTATATTACGTACCCGAATAAGATGTTAAATTCAAAATAATTTTCGAGTCACAAAAAATATCCGGCAAATGTTAAAGAAACAAAGAATCGAGGACGAGAAGTGTTAACAAGAAAAGCGTGAAAGTGGTACGAGGCTTGCAACAGTGTGAGGTTGCATCAGAGACGCAGGAAGTCGAGGCGGTTGAGTCAAAATGGCGGAGGTGGTAAGCGGGCGCTGAAGAAATTGGGAGGCTAAATTGCGATACAGGAAGCCACGCTATCTGATGAGCTAGCTCGCCGCGGCTTGCGAAACTTGTGCTCCTATGTGTACATTATAATTCTGACACTAATCCTCGTGGCCCGGCATTGCAAAACACTTCTCTGGGTGCTATTGCGCTTACGTTTGATTTCTACCTTCCAATCATCAATTTGCATGGTGCGGATAATTTTATAAATTATCATTCGATGTTTATGTGTACAACGACCAGTGAGCATTATATAACAGTGAATACTAATTAACTATGATTTAATTATTTATTAATGTTTGTAGGTCATCTATTTATGACAATGTGTACAAATTATTACTGTTATATTCCATATGTTTTTAGATGGTTTAATCTTACGCATCCTCTAATCGGTACATTAGATACAAGGAATTAGGAAATTCAAATAATATTAGGTAAACACTAACAAATAACAAGTTCTAATGATAAACAAAAATTGGCACACAGTTTCGTCACCGGCGCAACAAACAAGTGGTAAACGAAAATTCTAGTTTGTGTCGGAAGTTAAAGAGGTATGTGGAGCGAATGTAGAAATTCACTTTTATGTTTCAGTAATTCAGGAAACTGCGGCGGTATGCGGGCGCCTTGTGAAACCCCGGCGTCGTCCCCGACTGCACCGACTGCCCGAATGTCCGAGAACTCGACTGCCCGACCCGCCGCGTGATACTTGTATTTTACATGTCTAGTTTTGGTAGATATTCGTTGTGCATATCCGTTTCATAATCGTCGCAGAAACATACCTCGTAAACAAAGTATTAAGAGAACAGAACTCCCGAACAATGAAAAGCTCGTTATCTATAAAAGCTTCGGTATGAATAAATAACAATCCAATTCATGAAGAAAATTTCAACATCAGAAATTGTAATAAAAAGGTTCTAAACAGTCACACAATTTATTTTTGTGGAATGTTGTTAGAGGTCTGGTATAGAAACTCGGCTTTATAGGAAACAGTTTCACTGGCCGGCTATGAAAACCAAGTGGGAGTAGAAAACTTCGGTCGAATTCAAAGGAAGCCGGAAGCCGGAAAAGCGGCAAGGGTTAGACCGGAGACGAGGCCCGTTTCCGGCGGAAGTGTGGCGCCAGGAAGGTGAGTACTGAGCAGATAGAGAGAAGATAAATAAACCGCCGCCATATTGCCGGACGTGAATCTATAAATCAATTTGATTTTGCATGTTTGCTATATAAAACTTCCGTCTCCTGTTTATTTACATACATTGAAAATATTGGTCGTGGTATGCAGTAGTAGACTAAATAAATTAATTTAGGTACCTACGATAACAATTTTATACCTTTCTACATTTCGACGTTGAAGCTTGTTGATTTATCTTTGAAAAATAGGTTTTTACTACTGCAATAGGTTTTGCTTAAATTTTGTGAGTTTAGGAAACGATAGCAAGAAAGTGAGAAGTACATCTTCTATTGTCAACTCGTACTGGCCGTCCGGGTAATTGAAAAGCAATAATAATTAGAGATCAACAGTTTACTAGAAAAACTATTAGTTATTCTAATTACAACTAAGGATTCTTTATTAATCGGAGTTTGTATTTGTTATTTCGCGAACCATTTTAATTATTATATTAATGTGGATTGTTGAGTTGTGAGGTAAAAAAACATGAGTAGAAAAACGAATGTACGGATCGAATCGAATACAAGGAAGGAAACAAGTTGATATTTGGCGTCGTCCACAGTCGCCGCTCGTGCCCCGACCGGTTCTGCAAGTGTTATTCCGAAACCGAGATGACTCTGGACTTTCCGGACACACGATATTTTTACTCATGTCGAGTGTTGCCAGATGTCAGTTTGGAATCTCGACACGTGTGTTTTGTTCGTTTTACAAATATTTTCCACGATATAATGCTGTGAGGAAACAGATTGTCAACACGAATTATCTGGTTTTATAACGTTATAATTTTTTTTAATCACACACAGAAGTTATGTTTGAAAGATTTTTTAAATACTGGAGGTTTTACCTTTGTATTATACTAGTAGATTAAGTATTCTGTGGCATAATTTTTAATATGCAAGTGTTAACATGTCCCATTACTTCACTTAGGCGTCTACATATCAGGTAAATTCGAAACAATTATATGGGCACTCTACGGTCTGGAATACTTGTAACAACGTATCCTTCTAGAATATCTTGATATTAAAAATACAAACATTAAGTATAATTAAGGGTATTCCTTACAATCCTAACTCTTACTAATATTAGAACTGTGAAAGATTAGATGCATGGAGGGGTGGATGTTAGACTTTTGTAGCCAAAACGGCTAAACGAATTCTGATGAAATTTGGTACAGATGTAGAGGATAGTCTGGATGAATATATAGACTACTCACTTTTGTTTTTTTTTTAATTCTACGCGGACGGAGTCGCGGGCGAAAGCAAGTAAATAAAGGGTCCTTACAATGTAGGATTTGATAACGTGCTAAGAATTTCCGGTACGCCCACCGAATTACCACATATGTTGTAATTTTCTCAAAATGGCAACATTACATCGATACCGGAGGACGGCAACGGCTTTTTTTTTCGACGGACATTGCTGAAGGTCACACGGAACATTGGTCTAGCGAGACCTGTTATACCGTCTGATTACGCACGAAGTAACCCGGCACAAAAATAAAAGTCGCACACGATATTAAAACGCTTCGGACGACCGACATTTACATGTGGAATTAGTAAAAATCTTCTTATTACTTATAACAAGAAAAACAAAAGCATAATTCGATTACTGAAGATGAAAATTAATTTTATACTTCTGCCATTTTGTAATAATAACTTAAGAGGTTTTATATTTTTTAGTTGAAGTGCCTAAATCTTTGAGAGTTTTGTTTAAATAGATCGCTTTTATGATTTTATTATTGAAATAAAGATGTCTTTACTTTAATGCCCTTAGTTTGCTCATTATAACAGTAACTTGTAGGTAAGTTTACGTATATCGTTTAAATTACATAAGCGATAGTGGCGTATATTTCGTTGTTGCGATATGTATTGAGATATGAGCGCTAATGCGATTATATTTATCAAGTCATCCTTACGTTATCCGGCATTTGATGACGAATTTTACTGAATTGCGGAAAACAGTTCTTTTACGTTATCTGTAATTCCGACTCTTTGTAGGTACAAATATTACATACGTATTATGTACACTCATTTGCACGTCGAAACATGTTATTTTTCAATCTTGTATGAATATTTGATTTTAAATTTGTATTTTTTGGACTATTAATATGTATATCATCGTCATCACTAACAAAATTTCTATATAGGGACAATTTACCTAATCTCTGTTCTTTAAAATTATAGTCTAAATACTTTCATACTTCGAAGCAAAACATACAATCGGTTGCTAGGAAGGGAACTTCTCAATCGAATTTAACACGTCACCAGCATTTACAAAAACGTTCACGAAAATATCGGAACGTAGGTACGTTGTATCGATAATATCGGAAACATTATATAACATATTTTAAATATAATTTATAACATGATTAAAATACTCGATACTTATCCGGTAATCTTATTATTACGAATATTTGTGTATATCAGATCACTAATAGTGCTTACAGAAATAACAAATGAAATCAAATGTTAAAATCTTTAGGCATTCTTTGCACGAACCTTTTTATTGACTGTAGGTAGAGAGTTGATAAAATGTAAACGTCATCCCATCTTTGATTTCATTAATATGTATATTAAGAAGTTGTTGAATATTTATCGTCGCAGAGAGAACTCTCGATGACCGCTTAGAGGTCAATGTCAGCTGAATAACAAGATCGATTCAATAAGGACCTTTAACAACTCTTGTATAAACGCATCATAATGGTTTGCATTTGTCTCTTTTCAACGTTAACAAAAAGCTTGAGGCAAAAACTTAATTGAGAAATTGTAGTATGTTTCCGTATAATAATATATGCGTACATACGGGTACAGTCGTGCACAAATATACCAATATGTTACATGTAACAGCTGTTCATTTTACTAGTTTTTATATGCCAAAGATTTAAATCATCATCTCCCTGTCTTTATCTTACTCCTGTAGCGTCGCAACAGGTTTATATTCTTAAGCTTAATCTATTTTCCGACATCTCAGTAGTCAGTTCTTGATTGTGTCACCTTTGCAACTGGCCCTTCTCCACTCCCCAAGTAATGCACATATTCTAATATCTGCCTGTTACATTTATTTATAATACCTTGCTAGCTACATAGTGAATAAATTACTTTACAAAGTATTTAAAACTATTTGAGATGGAGTTTTTATAACATTACACAACTAAACCACTAACCTTTAACACTTCTGAAAGCTTCCTCCTTTCAAAGCTCGCTCGGCTATTGTTAGATCGCAAACAGGATATTACGCTTAAAGTAACTTAGGTATTTTATTCAATACTAGTGTTGGAAACTTTTTGTTCAGTATTTTGTCGATATTTTTGTTGCTTTTCCGTTTGGTTCTTGTTTTTGCACGTTTTACACGTAATGCTTTCAAGATTAACTATTTATTTTCATTATTGGTTAGACAAGCACCGTGATTAGATGTATTTATCATTTACAACTTTGTAACGAAATCTTTATAATACATGAAATATTTTTATAGTTACTATAGGTATACCTACTTATTTTACACTTTTGATTGCAAGCATTTTTCAAGTACTCGTATGTTCTATATAAGTTCATCCAGATAATTTACTTGAAATAGTTACATGAGATAATTTATTTTTCAAATAAAACAATCCTATTATATAACCGTGGGATGGAGTTCTTTTCTCAATCTATTTAAAACAAAGAAAACAAACAGACCCGTGCGAATATTTTGCATAGTATCGATCACATACCTAATACTTAAATAATATATTTTGTTCTTCCGGAAAATAACTGGGAAGGAGTACCATTGTACGGCATTGTTGAAAGAAAATGATGTCCACCATGGCCTCATATGGTTAATTGAATACGTTTTTAAAGGAATGCTAAACAATTAGGTATTCTTAAAGTAAACATCAGAATATCTTGTATCAACTTATATTCTTATACTTGAGGCTAGGCTTAACTGAATTATACTTGAGGCTAGGCTTCGTTAGATAATTAAGACGATTGCCACAAAAAATACAACAAACAAGTAAAGAATGTGATGATAGTTTGAACTATTATAAAATATTGAAGAAAAGTGTATGTAGCAATTCTGGCGTAGGAAAGCGACGCAGACGCAGGCGCTGGCGCAGAAGGCATGCGCGAGCGGCGTGACCGCGCGGCCAATTGGCCGAGATTGCGAGCTTCCGTCGCGCCGCTTCCGGCCGATAAAAGCAAGACCGAGCTAAGTGCCGGACTTGCTAACGGTCATTGGACCCAGCCTACCTACTCAGCCGTCTGCGACTCAACAAAAAGACCATCAGACGCTATTGTACCGAACTCCCAATCTAACTACTGTGAGAATCAATTCTGATTCGCAAGTATTTTCAAAATCCCTTTCACGGACTTTAAAGAACCCTGTTATTTACGACTACATTAAGATTTGGGTATAAATTGACAGTCAAAATTGCAACATTATATAGAAATTAACCATCAAATCAGAAACTGGATTACGAAATGATTTTGAACGATTTTATTGCTATGTTTGCTTGGGCAAGATGATTTTACATACGTGTTTTTAATTTTTATTACATAAAAATTTGGCTTTACTTGATTTTTTAATGTATTTAAATGTAAATAGGATACTCATTTAATGATATTGTAAAAGCGGAAAAAGCACAAAAATGTTGCAATTAATGGGATCATTGGAATATGGTACGTTTTTTGAATGGCAACTTTTTGACAAAAGATACGTTGAATGATCTTACGACCCCAGATTTTTCTGTCCATATTTAAAAATACCAGACAAAATATTAATCACGTTCTCCTAAAATTAATTTCTCTTTAGATAAACTAATGACGTTAGGATATTTCTAAGAACAAGAATCAAGAAAAACATAACTTTTTAGTTTTAATTATAGAAATAGTCGAATGACTACTTCGAATCTGTTTGTTTTTTATGATCTTTTATTTGGTGCGCGGTCCGATATATCACGGAAATGTATTTCAAAGTAAACTTTCCGT